TCCCATCCCATCCCATCCCATCCCATCCCATCCCATCCCATCCCATCCCATCCCATCCCCTCCCCGCAGAAGGAAGAGCCGGCCAAGGCCTGGGGAGATCTCTACCCTGGGCGTGGGACTCACTGGGGAGAGCACGTCCCCATCGAAGCGGCGCACGGGGTTGGGCTTGCGGCGGTAGGCAGGCTCGGGCGGGTGGGCCTTGTGCTGGTGGGGCGGTGGGTGGTGGGGCCTCCGCTTCTTCTTCTTCTCTTTGCGGTCCTCCCGCTGCTTGATGCGCATCAGCTGCACACGGCGCTGCTGCCGGCTGATGATCACTGTGGGGTGGGGGGGTGGTCAGCACCTCAAAACATTGTTGCACCCGAACCGCCCGCTGGTGGCACCCCAATATCGTGTCCAACCTCACCCTCTCCCTTTTTTCCCCAACCTCTGCTCACCTTCAGTGTGAGAGTAGCCCTCGGCCGTGACCTTCCACTGGACCAGGACACCCAGCACAGTGAGCAGAGGCCAGATGCCCAGGATGACCCAGCTGTACCAGCACACAGGGCGAGCGGGGGCCACCTTGATGCGCTCGTAGATGTACTGCACCAGCAGGAAGAGCTCGATGAAGTAATCGACGGTGACGGTCATAATGGCGCTGCCGAAGACGGCGGTGGAGAGGGTGGTGAAGAAACGCTGCCACTGCAGGGTGAGCACGGCAAAGAGCATCCCCACACCCAGCAGCAGCGCGATGGGGATCCACACCGTAGGTGGGTGGTAGAACTGCTCCATCACCACCAGCGTGGCCACCGCCAGCAACAGCCCCAGCAGCAGCCCTACCATGAAGAGGCCGACGCTGCGCACCAGCATGGTGACCAGCCCGCACAGCACTCCAATGCCCAGCCCGATGCCCACTGATGCCTCCACGCTCAGTTGCGTGTCCAGCACCCGCTCCTTGTAGCACAGCATGAAGATGATGATGGAGCCGAACATCAGTCCCGTCAGGAACATGACAGCCTTGAAGCAGCGGTAACCTGCAGAGAGACCACCACTGTCAGCGGCGGACATGGCCATCAGGCGTCCCTATTTTCCCCTCCCTGCTCACTCTCCAGCTACTATGCCCCAGCCTGGCTCACCAAAGAAGCAGTAGATAATCCCAAAGAGGCAGCACATGGCACACACCACAGAGGGCACCACCTGGTAGCGGCGCTCAATCTCCTGCTGGCAGCTGTGCACCCACTCCTGGCCTGTGTCGTGCGGCAGCAGCTTGAAGCGCAGCGTCTGCACAGTTGCAGTCATGGCTCTGGGGAGTCCTGGGAGACGCATCAAAAGCTTTGCTCCTGTCCCATCGCTTGTGGGCAAATCTGTGCCCTGGCACCGGATCCGGCTGCAGAGAGAGGGGAGAAGAGAGGGAATGCAGGTGGTGCCCACCTGGCTGGTGCCCACTCCATCCTCCATCCCCCTGCAAAGCAGGCTGCAGACCCACATCCCATCCCTGGGATGCTCCTGGCCCAGACACCAGCCAGGCTCCGTGCCAAGCTCAGACAATTGCCCCAAATCCCAGTACCCATCCGTGGGAAAATGGCTCCATCACGGCTGGGCTGGAGACAAAAGGTGCAGGGGGACAGCATCCATCTCCTGCTGCTGACCCTCCTGCTGCCTTTCCCTTCTGGATGGGAGAGCCTGCCACTACCTGGCATTTTCTGCCTGGGAAGTAATTATGCTCAGTAATTAAGTCACCCCTCAATCTTCTATTTTTATAGGCTAAACAGATTGAGCTCTTAACGCTTGTACTCTAAGGCATTTTCACCAATCCTCTAATCATATTTCTGGCTATTTTTCATCCCCGTTCCAGTGTGCAGTGTCCTTATGGAAAGCAGGTCCGTGTGCCTGACCCGGCCCCACACCAACCCATGAGGCTGACGGGAGCTGCTGCCCCTACCCTGTGCTCTGCTCACACTGACCCAGGGGTCAGGACGGGGCTGGGGGCTGCCCTGCTCCTGCGGTGCCTGCACAGACGGAGGGGTAATAATCCCTTGCAAAGACGGATCCAGCTCCGGCTTAAGCCCAATTAAGCCCTCTGTCTGCTCGCTCCCACCTGCGGACTGGTCCCACACCTCTTTGTTCCTGGGACACGCTTCTAGGCTCAGTTTGTTTGGGACCTGTATAATGTCACCGATTATCCTTCTGAGTGCCACGTTACAGCAGCCTCAAAGCAACCACCCCCCGAGCGTTACCGGTCTGTAATTATGCCACCGCAGCATGCCCCATCCCTGGCACAAATGCACCCCGGGGACGCCTCAGCGCTCCCCACCGCCCCGCCGGCTGCAAACCGCCCGCCGCCGGCTGCGGGGCGGGCTGAGCGCAGCCCCTAATCTTGGGGGGCGCGTGCCTGCCTAAACCCCTATGCCCTCGCGAGGAGGCTAAACGGGATTGGACTTTACCCGCCGGGAGGCGATACCGCGCGGGGTGCGGGCGGGCACGGCGCGGGGAAAGCACGGAGCAGCGCTGCCCCCAGCCCTTCCCCGGACAGGGGATGGGCTGCGGGGCGCGGGCAGCGCTGCGGGCGGCCGCGGGCGCCCATTGGCGCGGCCCTGTTGCTAGGGGAGCGCCGCGCCGCTCATTGGCGCTCCGCCATCCGCCGCCACCGCGCCGCCGGGCCCGGTCGCGGGACTCCGGCACCGCTCCTACAGCCGAACCCCGCCGCCGTATCCCCGCAATCGGGCGGCCCCGCCGCCCCGCCGCCGCGTTCCGCCCCGGATTACCCCACGCTCCGCACAAAGCCGCTCACGCGCCGATCCTATTAGCGGTAGCAGGGGTCACCCTGCCCGGCGCCGCCCGCGCCCCGCACCCACCGGCCCGGCTCCGCCGGCTCCCTCCCCCCCACCTCCCGCCCCGTCCCGCTCCCCGGCCCCCGGCGGGGCGGGCTCGGCGCGGCGTTGCTACGCGACGGCCGCAAGGGCTGCCGGGCCGCTCCGCCTCGCTCTTTGTTCGAGGCGGGGGCGGCGGGGCTCCCCCGGCCCGCAGCGACCGCGGGGCCCTCGCTCGCCCGAACCCCGTCCGCGCCCGCAGCCCCGCCCGCCCGCCGCCGGCGGTACTCCCAGGCCCCGCCCGCCGCCGGCGCTCCGTGCGTTCCGCGCTGCTTCGCCCCGGTCCACCCCGCGCGGCACCCGCCCCGCACCTGCGCTCCCGGCCATGCAGCGGCGGCGACCCCGCGGCGCTCGGCGCTCCCGGCCCCGGCCCCGGCCCCCGCGCATGGTGGCGGCGCGGTGCTGAGCGGACAGCTCCGCCTGACGTCACCGCGCCGCCGGGGCGGGGCCTCGCCGGAAGGGGGCGGGGCCTCTGGGAGGGGGCGGGGCTTCAGCGACGGGGCTGGGGTGGCGTGGGGCAGTGCGTTGGGGCACGCTCAGGACGTGCAGTGGGGCTGAATTTTGGGGCATTAGGGCTTGCATTGCAGACTGTATAGGGAGCCAGAGTGTGCCAGAGCGTGCACTCAGACTTCAGGCTGTGCATTGGGGTTGTGAATTGCAGCATGTGTTGGGCTGTGCACCAAGGTGTTGGACTGTGTGCTACAGAGAGCCCTGGGACATGCATCAGGGTGTGCACCAGGCCATGCACCAGGCTCCGTTCTGTGGTGTTCTGTGCCTTGCTTTGAATCATGCACGTGGGGAAATTAGCAAAAAGGAAAGGTGCTTGTGTCTGTGGAACCTACAGCTGCTGCTCACCCAGGCAGGAGGTTGGGTAAATGGAACGACCAGCTGCTCTGCAGAGGCAGAATTCCCCTGGCTTCCATCTCCCAGCTGCAGCTCTCAGAGCCCCCAGGCACGGCCCCTCCTGGCAGGCAGCAGG